ACACACACACACACACACACACACACACACACACACACACACACACACACACACACACACACACACACACACACACACACACACACCTCCATCATGTTCACGCTGTTGAGTGGATTGTGGCAGCGATGGCAGCAACGCTACGAGTACTACGCGCTCATCATTGGCCTTGATGCGGCGGGGAAAACGGTGCGTGAGTGTTCTTAGAAAGGAGCGAGTGAAGCGAGTTGGCACAGCACTCCCAGGCTTGCATGCGTGCTTGCATGCTCACGCACGCATGTTCATGTGCACGTTTGCTCAAACACACGCACGCCACACTTGCCTGCTAACGGCCTCAGACGTTGTTAGAGAAGATCAAAGAAATCTACATTGCAAAGTACCCACAGGGCGGCAAGAAGGTCATCCCAACCGTCGGCTTGAATGGTGGGCGCTTCCCCTGCGCTGTATTACATGTACATGTGCGATTGTGTGTGTGCGCGCGGTTGTGTGTGCGTGTGTGTGGGGGGGGGGGGAGGGGTTATGTGAACGTGTTGAACCCCTGCTTTCTCCTCATCTCTCATTTCTGTGCCTCCTCCCTCCTCCGTCGCCCTTTCTCACTCGCTCGCACATGCCATGGTGTTGTGCTTTTACTGCTTCATTGTGACTTGGCCACAGTGGCCAAGATTTTGCTGCACTCCATACGGCTTGTGTTCTGGGACCTTGGTGGTCAGCTGGATCTTCATGAGCTCTGGCACAACGTGAGCGCAGTCGCCGCGGCTTCGTGTGTGTGTGTGTATGTGTGTGTGAATGTGGGACAGCGAGAGCGAGAGAGTGCGTGAGAGATCGCTGCACGTCAACCTGCACACCAAATGCGTCGTCTGCTGATCACTTTTCTTCCACGACTGTACGTGCCAGTATTATCGGGAGGCGCACGGGATCATCTACGTCATTGACTCCACAGACCGGGAGCGATTACAGGAGTCGAAAGACGTGTTTGACCACGTCCTCATGACGCGCGAACTTGAGGGCGTCCCCATCCTCATTCTCTGCAACAAACAAGAGCACCCGGTGTGTGTGTGTATGTGTGTGTGTGTGTGTGTGTGTGTGTGTGTGTGTGTGTGTGTGTGTGT